TTATCAGTATCCTGGTCCGTCTGAACCAGGGGGTCGTCCATGGGACGCTTCTCACTTAGAATCGGTATAGACTGTGATTCCATCTCAAAAGTACTCTCCCCACAGACAGCGCCAAAATGTTTCGGGGTTTTTTTATGTCCTGCGGGAGAGTTACAATTCCGGGACTGGATCTGTGCGCCTGTACCTGCAAAACAACGAAAACTCCGGTTGGTGGGAGCTCCGCCTCCGATGACCAAGTTAGAACACGTTTAAGGAGTTAAGGTGCGGAAAGTAAAAGTGATCTGGTTCCTCTAAGGGGAGGAGTGACTGAGGTGTGCAATTAATGCTAAGTCTGGTCTAGCAAGTAGTATGCACGAGGGTTTAGGTTTCTCTTGGTGAGATGATATTATATCTTAATGTGTTTAATGAAGGCTAATTACCGTATTTATAGCCTCGAAATACGTGCCCAATACTAGGTTAAATGGTAAACCTAGGACTGATTGGGCTTGCCTCGGGATTCGGGCCCAGTTAGCCGTTTTCCGGGTTGGCAGATAATGGGCCACGTGGCGTGTCGCGATTGGTCCATGTTGGACCTCTTGGAGCATGACACGTGGCAGCCCCTGAATGGTCCACGTGGCTAACATGTGGCGGGTGCTGACTGGTCCACGTGGCGGAGAAAAATGCCCTAAACAATAATCATTGAAAAATCTTGCAAAAATAGCATGAGCATGGAACATTTATTTTTCAAAAACCGTGATATTCCTATTCCTCCATAAATGCCAATAATCCACTACAAAAACCATTTTCCAGTGAGAATCAAAGCTAAGATTATAGTTCACAATCTATCCACTCAAGATTCATAAAGTCAATAAAACTAAAACCACAAGGAATCTTGATCTTAGCAAAAATACCATTCCTAAGAATATGAGAGGAGAAACAATCACGAAAAAAGATGAATATGAGATTCCTCATACAAACTACATCTAAAACAATTAGGACTAACCAAGGAAAAATAGAATGCATGCAATTCCAAAGAAGCATCTTGTATTTTGAAGGAGCCCGAATTCTCCGAATCGCTTTCCAAGAATTATAGAAGGAAGAAATAATGCAATTATCTCTAATTAAATGATGATAAACAGATTTAATATTGAAAACTCCATGGTTCGAAAGGGATCACGTAATAAAGTCATCCATATTACCAAATTTAGAGACAGGAGTAGCCAGAATTAAATTCACAATGAAAGTAGGAAGAATATGCATAATATCATCGAGATACCAATTTCCATTTCTGATTATGTTAAAAACTAACCAATGCGCCTTAGAATTGGGAACATTCTTTTTCAAAGAGAGATATATGGGCTTGTCCCCCACCCAATGATGATACCAAAGCAAGGTAGTCTTTCCATTTCCAATGCCAATCTTTAAGCCCGAGGCTAAAAGGTGTCTTCCTTTCAAAATATCCCTCCAAACGGGGGATTGAGAGTTGTGGGGAATACAATCAAAGAAAACATTATTTCTCAAATATTTATCATTCAAAATTTTAACCATAATTTTTCATGATTATTAAGTAAAGTCCATCCTAACTTGGCCATGAAAGCAATATTCCATTCCTTAAGCCTTCTAATACCTAGCCCTCCAATTTCTAAAGGCTTGGTAACATGAATCCACCTAATTCTAGGAGAATAGTGAATGTCATCCACCTTGTTCCATAAAATTTTCCTACATTATTTCTCAATAGCATTGATGACAGAAAACGACAACAAATTGGTTTGCATATGATACACAGGATATGAATTCAAAACATCTTTGATCAAAGTGTTCCTGCCAGCAAGATTAAGGAGCTTAGATTGCCATCCTTTAATTTATTTTATGGTCTTATCAAGGGGGGGGGGGGGAGATAATGGGCACCTTTAAGCCTATTAGGCTAATCTCAATACCTAAGTATTTACCAAAAGAAGAAGAAGAATTGAGATTAAAGTGCACACTAAGACTATTCCTAATAGAATGGTTCATCTTGGTTGGGAAGATAATAGCAGATTTAGCAAGATTAATTCTGAGGCCAGACATATCCCCAAACTTATTTAAGAAATCCATCAATTCCTTAATATTACTTAAGGAAGCATGACCAAACATTAAAAATCATCGGCATAGAAAACATGCGAGATGTTAATTGTTTATGAAATCTTAATAGGCTTCCATCTCTTATCATTAACACTTACTTCAATCATACTAAAAAAGTCTTTCTAAGCAGAGAACGAAAATGTAAGAGCATATGGGATCGCCTTGCCTAATTCCACGAGAAGGCCTAAACTCCTTAGTAATCTCTCCATTCTAAAGAACCGATATTCTAGGAGTGGTGATACAAGACATGATAGTTTAATAAGAGAAGATGGAAAATTAAAAGCAATTAGGGTTTCTTCAATAAAACTCCATTCTAGGCTATCATAAGCCTTAGACAGATCAAGTTTTAAAGCAGCAATGTTTTTCCCTTTCTTAGCCTTATTAAACATATGAGCAATTTCTTTGATGACAATCACATTATCCTCTATACCTTGACCCCTTATAAAGCAAGATTGCATAGGATTGATGAGCTTATTAAGAAAAGGCTTGAGTTTATCCGAAATGAGCTTGGTAATTAATTTGTGAATAGTGTTGCAAAGCCCAATCGGTCTAAACTCGGAAATATGAGAAAGAGCATCAACCTTAGCTTAGGGATTAGGGAGATGAAAGATCGATTGATAACATGAGGGATATCATTATCTTGGAAGCAGTTTTTCACAAAGTTAAAGATAGAAACGCCAAGATTAACCCAGAAGTGTTGAAAAAATTTAGCTTGAATTCCATCCGGCCCAGGACATTTCATGGGATCCATGCGGAAGAGGCACTCCTTAACTTCATCGAAAGAAGGAATTTTGCTAATCCTAGAGCCGTCATTATCAGTTAAACATAAATTAGGATTAAAAGGAATATTGCAAATATTATCCCCTAATTTAGAAGAAAATAAAATATCCATAAAATACTCAGAAGCCATATCTTTTAACTTAAGATCGTCTGTAACCCAAAGCCCTGAATTATCCTTGAACGCAAAAAAATTTTCTTTGTTTTTTTTTTTAATTTTAGCCAAAATATGAAAAATATTTGGTATTATGATCACTATATTTTCTCTAATTAATACCCGTTTTTTGAGCCCATATGATTCTTTATTTTTTGTAAATTGAATCAAAATCATGTGAAAGATTTTTTTTTCTAATTTAACAAGGAAATTAGAATATTTTTTAGCAAGAGAGATTTGAATACCATTAATATGAGCTAAAATTCTTTCTTTCTTCTTTTTTTTTTCCAATTGAAGGCTTCCAAAAATATTATGATTCCAAGATTTAATATTCACACCAAAATTATCAATCCCATCTAAAAAAGAATTATTCGGCTCACTCCAATTACTAAGAAAAAAATCACTAAACTTGGGGTGTTCTAACCAAACTTCCTTGCAACGTAAGGGAAAGGGACCTAGGGCTTTAGCTTTACAAACATCAACAAAAATAGGGCAATGATCAGAATAAGCACGAGAAAGATGATGTAACTTTGTGTGAGGAAAAGCATCAAGCCAAGAAAGATTACCCACAGCATGGTCGAGACGTTGTTGAATCAAATCAATTCCTTCTCTGGCATTAGTCCAAGTGTAAGGGTTTCCATGAAACCCTAAATCTACTAATCCTGCTTCTTTAGTGACTTCAATGAAATCCTTTCAATGACCCTGTTTGAAATCACAACCCCCCGACTTTTCACCCTGATTAGTAACCTCATTGAGATCCCCCAAGAAAAGCCGAGGGATTTGTTCAGGGGGAATAGACTCCCTTATTTTCCTCCAAATTGCATGCCTTGCATTCAGAATGGAGGGTGCATGCATTCCGGAAACAAGAACATCGGGTTTATCATTCCTAAAATGGAATAATGCATGAACAATATGATCCTCTGAAGTGAAAATAAGCAGATCCACGTTTCCTTTCCAAAACACCCAAATTCCACCTCTCCCACCATTAGCTGCGACAACTTTGTGATCCGAGAACCCAAGTTGCAACATAACTTGTCTAGCACGCATTGGCGTAGCTTTAGTTTCGAGAAAAATAAACGCATTTGGATGATAGGTATCCACAATGTGCCTTGCATGAGGCACAAATTCATCCCTAGCAGCCCCTCTAACATTCCACATAATGATTGATGAATGGAACATTACTTGCCAATTTGACTACTACGGAGTAGTATTATTAATATTAAATTGTAACTAACATCTCCTAAATCTACGCTCATAATTTTAAAGATACTTGTGTTTATTATTAGAAAAAAGAACATTAGTAGTGATTTAAAGATAATTTACTCCATTGAAGTAGCTAACGCCATGTATTATTGAATGTATATTTGGTCTTAATTACAAATTGCACGGTCCTACAAATAGCTCTACAAATAGCAAATTAATTCGGTTGGTCGGTTAAAGCTCGGATTTTCTACAAATTTTATCGAGCTCTTTGATTTCATTTTGGTAAATTTTGAGTAGTTAATAAGAATGTACAATCCGTAGAGAACTTCACTATAGTAATACAAAGTAATAAGTAGTAATTACAAGGAACACAAGGGACGGAAGGGGTATATAATCGACATATTGAGGATTAGTTTGAATACTTTGTAAATACAGAATATAAAAGAATAATTTCTCGGAAATTTGATGAAAAGGCTATTAAATAATGGATCATATTATGAACAAACGCCTTTATATAAACTACTCGATAGTTAGTATACATTGTAAGTTAATTTAGAGGTGGACACTGAGAGTGAGAGATAACTTAAGTGGATAAAACTTCCCTCCCGGCTCCGAGTGATTCTGAAATCGAATCTCATCACTCGTCCTTTGTGACTCTCTAAACACAAAAAAAAAAAAAAAAAAAAAAAAAAAATGGAGGTGGACACTAGATAGTTCCTTGAACCCTTTTCTTTACATTCCTTCCAAAGATCTTTCATTATACGCAATACTTAATAGACCGGATTAATTAGTGCGGGATTTCACGTCACTAACTCGATAGTACTAATTTTATAAAGTTTTGTGGGGGAAGAGTGGAGGGTCCCGGTTGCAAAGGTATGAGGCCCTAAGTTTGACTCCATATCAATTTTTATCATTGTTTGAAAAGTCAAGCTAGGTTGGTTCCTACATCTTTTTTTTTTTTTTTTTTTTTTTTTTTTTTTTTTTTTTTTTTTGGAAAAAGTTATCCAGGAAATTGCACAGAAATTAATTCCATCAACAAACATTTTTCCAAAAATTCACAACAAAGTAAACCTTCTTAAAACACTTAAACCCTCTTAATTTCTTACTTATATAAATATACTTGTATACTCTATTTTTCACCAAATTTTTTTGCTACAATTTTAGACTGCAGCCTTCAAATTCCCACGTTTTTAAGTCAATTTGATGGGCTGTATTCCTCCTCCATTAATTATTATTGTCATTTAATTATTATTCAGACAAATTCTAAGCACAATTTATAACAATATTTAATTTTGTTATTGTCTTTTTCTGCTTTTCTAATTTGGGTATTTTCGTCAGTTTGTGTTGGGTTGATTATTCAACTTCAATCAGCTCATAAATTTTTGTTTCTGGGTTTTTCTGGGTTTTTTTAAATTAGTTGTTGAGAGTTTCTTAATTTTCATTTTTAATTTCAGGATCCAAGTTGGGTTGTACTAAACCAGTTTCTCTCTCATATAAATGCTAAACATGTCTTCTTGTTTGTTAATAATCTGCTAATTTGGTTTTTTGACCAAATTTTTTTTGATATCAGATTATTTTCCACAGTTTCCAGCAAGCAGAATCAGAGGTACTTTGTAAATTTTTGCTTAATTTTTTGCAATTTTTTTTCTTCCTATTTTTAGAAAAGTCAAATACCCATAAATTTTTGTGTTTGCAAAAATTTTGTTGTTGTGTAATTTGTCAAGAACCCTAGAATTAGTTGATTGATTGATAATAGTATGATGGGTATGAGGGATGTAAATGTTAATATGATTCCCACAAACCCTATGAGACAAGAGAGTTTGATAGCAGCTCATAATCTTTTAAGGGAATTAGAGGCTAATGATAGTCTAACTGATGATATGAAAAAGATTTTAGCTGATCTTGACTCGAAATTGTCTGCTATGGAGTTGAAATATGATGGCAGTAATAGTAGTGAATCGGTTCCGATTTTGAGGGAAAGAGAGTTGAATGATGCAAAGGAGAAGTTGAAATCTGCCCATGATAAGATCATGGGTTGGGATTCGAACCTCGATATGATTTGGGAATCCGGCCCTGATAAGGCCGCGGAGTACATAGAGGCTGTTGAGGATGTCTTGTGTTTGGTGGAGTTGTTTAGGAGTTTGTGGATGAAGGGAGATGATGATCATGAAATCTCTCAAGCTGAGGATGTTTTGCAAGTTGCTATGCAAAGATTGGAAGAGGAGTTGGTGCATGTTCTTGGTCACCAAAGGCAATCCTATGTTCCGCGTGAGGTAGAGGGTGATGAGCCGGAAGGTTCTGGTGAACAAGAAGATGTTAATTTTGATTTGATCGACCCTGAAGCAATTCCATTTCTAAAGTCGATCAAAAAAGTTATGTTTGATGCAAAGTATGATCAGGATTTTTGTGCAGCATATGTAAAGACTCAAAAGGAAGCTTTGGAAGACTGCTTGATTGGCCTTGGAATGGAGACAGTTAGCATAGACGAGTTGGTCAGGATGGATTGGAACATTATGGCTTCCAAGATCAAGACCTGGGTTCTAGTGATTAGAACCGCGGTGCAAGTCTACTTTTCAGCTGAGAAGCGGCTGTGTGATGAGATCCTTGGGAAGTCTGAGCCTTTTGTATCACTTTGCTTGACCAACATCACAAAGTCTGCCATGACTTGCCTTTTCAATTTTGGACATGCCATGGCCCTCGGACCCCATACACCAGAGAAACTCTTCTATATTCTTGACATGTACGAGGTCTTAGTAGAAATTCAGGGGAAGATCAATGAATTCTTCTCTGAAGAGGGTGGCTCATATGTGAAGACTGAGTTTGAAGAAGTTAAGAGCAGACTTGGAGATTCTGCTCGGGCAACATTCTTGGGATTTGGTGAAGTAATTCTTTCTGATCCTACACTAGACCCTTTCCCTGGAGGAGGAGTTCATCCACTTTCTAGCTATGTTATGAATTACATCATCGTCTACCTTCCCGACTACTGCAAAACTCTCAACACCCTCCTTCATGAAAAGGATGAAGATGCAAATAATGTCACCACGAATCAAGTCTTACCTGAGAAAAGCTTGCTAGCTTCTAATCTTCGATCAATTGTCGCCAAATTGAAGTTCAACCTTGAGAAGAAGTCCCACCTGTACAGGGATGCTGCCTTGCAGCATATATTTCTGATGAACAATACGCACTACATTCAGCAGAAAGTCATAAATTCCGAGCAACAGAAGTTATTTGGGGATGATTGGATCAGAACTCAGATAGTGAGCTATCAACAGCATGCTACTAGCTATGTGAGGAGTACTTGGAGTTCAGTTGTGGCCTCGCTTAGGGATGATGGAATTCCATCAGGGTCAGGTTCAGGAGTTAAGTTGGTCCTCAAGGAAAAGATCCGGGTTTTCAGTGTTGCATTCGAGGACGTGTATAGGAGCCAGACAGGATGGTGTATTCGAGATGAGCAGCTTAGGGAAGAATTGAGGATTTCCATCTCTCAGAAAGTGATTTTGGCATATCAGAGCTTCATCGGAAGGCATAAAAAGTACGATATTGAGAAGTATGTCAAGTATGATTCTGATGACTTGGAGAATTTGCTCAGAGATTTCTTTGAAGGGTCTCAAAAATCTTTGAACTCCCGCAGAAGATGAGTTCGATAAAGAAAAAGGAGATAATTTGAGAAGTAAAGGAGTTGTAGACATTATTTGTTTCATTGATTGTAGCTGTGCTCTCAGCCTCTCAGTTTTCTTTTCGTAAGGAGTGAGATGGCTGCTATTGTATGTCCTTTTTTGATCCTGTATTGGCCTAAATAATATACTTGTAATTTTAATGCATAGATTTTGAATGGAAAGCTGTGTCCTGCCACAATTTTCTGAACTTCTGATGAATTTAGTGGAATTCGTCGTCTGCTTGATCTGGAGAAACTCAAAAAAATTTGGTCTGTGTGAACTGATAAAGTGTATATTTGGTCGAAACAGCTGAAAAAGTTTTATTTCTGAGAAAATGAAGGGAGTTGCTCGCTTAATGCTCTTGCTAGGCACATTGTAACTGAATGGAAACGCGATTCCGGTAACACGTGATTTTTTTTTGTAACAAATCAATTGATCGCAACGTAGTGTCGTAGTGTACATGCTGAGTTGAATTTATTTGATGAGCACAACAGACGTGCGGCCTAAAGCATCTGATATATGTAACAAAACTGCCTGTCTGCCAAAGGTTCAACACCACACGAAAAATGCTCAAATTGTGCTTTGACATTTTAAAAGTGATGCAATTATAGGGTCCTCAAAAAATTGAACGAATAGTCAAAAGGATTACAAAGTCCAAAAATTTGGTAATGCTCTTTTCTTCTTTTCCTTCTAACTAACTGTTACTTTATCTGTACTTTCAAATTACAAATAGACATAATCCTAATCCCTATATGAGGCAATGTCTTCTCAAGTATACAAGGAGAAAAAAAAAAAAAAAAAATCAGTGGGGCTTTGGGTGAGCTAAATGGATACTGCCCCAAGCGAGGCGGAAACGATAAGAATTTGATGTGTATTGGAACCGGAATTAGTAGAGTTGTACCCGAAACGGACAATAACGTAGCCAGATACACTCTGGTATAAAAAGATAAGCAGATTATTCCGCAATTTATGAAAAAGAAAAATGTTCAAACTAATCAAAAATTGCATGAATACTCCGAATAATTTTTAGATTTTATCAACATGCCCACTGGCTCCACCTTACCCATTGACCCATATAGGCCATGTACAAGATTTTCTTTGTATTTAGTAATTTAGTTTATTAAGATACTCGTATTACTAATTGACAAAGATTCATTCTTTCAATAATTGTTTTTTTATCCGAACTCAATATTTAGTTATCGTTCTTTAGCACGTTTTGATTATCGAGTCATATTCATGTATCAAGTGGCAATGGTAAGTGTCGAATAACTTGATTAACTTATATTTTAGGTAGATCTGGCCGTGGTGGATTTAGTGATTATTTGAGACAGGTATTGGACTTAGTAATGCTTCATTATATTAAAATTGACCCAAAATGTCAACACTTAAACTTAGACATGATATTCAGCAAAAAAAATATACCAAATTACTATGTAAAAATACTCAAGCAAAAAAGTACGTCAAATATAAATAAAGTAAATGGATAACGCAATTCTACATAATAAGTTACCAAAAAGGAAATTTTATAATATATATATATATATATATATATATATATATATATATATATATATATATATATATATATATATATATATATATATATATATATATATATATATATATATATGTTGAAGTAGCCCGTGTTACAATTTTAATAAATTAGAAATAATATTCCGTACACTATAAGACAAATCAAACTTAAGGGGGACCAAAATAGTGACTAAAATCCTGTCAAAAAAAAAAGTAGGGACTAAAAATGCTTTCAATCACTAGTAAAGACTAAAGAGTAAAAACTAGATGTCAACACTACCAACTATCTTCCTTTCTATTCCCTTGATGACGGAATTCATAACAAGATGCCCATTTACTTACCTTTTAGAAAGCAATTTATCTAAAAAGAAAATATTAATAATTATTGTGTTTATTTAATTAAAAAAAAGGTGTTCATGTGATTTAATTGTATTTGTAATCTTGAGAAAGCGATTACCATGAAAAGAAAATTAAAATAAATAAATATTCATGATGATATGATTTAGTTGGACAAAAATCTGGGATCTATATAACGTGTTGTTGGTGATAAATATGTGAATGCATGATTTTGACATATTTAGGTTGGTTTCATACAATTTGACACGACTTAATTAGTCTATAGTCAAGAGTCAATACAGGTTTGCTACAACTTAATTAGCAGCCTTAGAGAATGTGAACTACATTTTTGCATTCAAGATGAAATAGATATAACATGAGCAAGACCAAGGAATTGATAATATTTTGTTAGTCTTGCACTCTTGTGAAAGACAAGTGTGTATTTGTTCCTAATACGGATTAAGACCGCTTATGGAATATAATCTACTCGGATATATGATAAATACTGTACATCGGCTGTAAAAATACTCTAAAATGACCAAAATATATACTTTATTGATAAAGTTACTCTCTTTTAAGGAGTAAAATTCAAATTAGTGTATGAAGATAACCATATTACCCTATACAACTTATCCTATGTCTTATTTAGTTCAAAGTTACCCCTAAAACTATTTGATGTATGCCAATATTTTTAATGCAAATATTTTGTAACTAATTTGATCAATACACATGAATTATTGAATCGTTAATTTTGTAACCAAAATTCCCAACTTGGGTGAACTAAACTCTCTTGTTTTCTATCAATGTTGATCATGCCGCAACTATGTTAAACTTTTGCACTAAAATAACACTTAAGACGGGTTATTTGTCCAGGATTTTAGCATAGCAACTAGCAAGAAGGGTCCTCTAGTAGCATTTGCTGGGCAACTAGAGATCAGACCATCGTCGCAATTTGGATTTCGATGCTCCATAGAGTAAAAGGTGAGGGAGTAGAGTGAAGTTATATGGCAATACCATCGTAATGTCAGTGTCAAATGGTAGCACCTCAAATCATATGCGTGCATATCTTTAAAATAGGTGGTTTTCGACAAAGTTTCCTGTGTAAAACACCATTAACAATATAAATTTGCCACCGCACATCATGTTAAGGGAAGAGCAAATCCACAAAGGGTTTATTACAATACGACGTTAGTTTATTGATGCGAATATGTTGGTCAATAAATTTGAACTCAGGTCAAGAAAGATGTGAACTATCTATTGACAATAGAATATCACTCCCTGTATATCAAAATCTACTATTTGTGAAGATTTGTGTTCAAAAAAAAGATGTGTTCATATATGCTAATAAGAGCAGCAAAATTATTCGGAAGAATAAAAAGAGAAGCACATAATAAAGTAGATTCACTTCAAAATAAAATTATGATGTTCCAAATTCATCTAAATCTCTTAGAATATAAGAGGCTTCTGCAGGAATACAAATGCTCAAATTAACAGCAATTTGTAGCACTCTATGGAATAAAGGGTATGGATTAATAAAACATTTAATGAGGCAAAAAAAGGGATCAACACATTTACCACATTTTTCAGATTATATCAACAGTAAAAAAAAAAAAAAAAAAAAAAAAAAAAAAAAAAAGCTCATGTATGATGCAAAGTATAACCTTGGGGAATTAAATGTAACTACATTTAAGCAATATGACATCTTACAACATTCACAGCTGAACTTTGAGAGAAGATACTAATAACAGGGCACATATAACTTCTGTCAAAGTTCAAGGAGGGGGGTAGCAAAGACCTAGGATTGGATCCTCTTCTCCTCATGTGCCCTGTTATTAGTATCTTCTGTCAAAGTTCATTTAACAGGGCACATAAGGAGAAGCTGAACTTTGACAGAAGATACAAGAATCGGTAAGAAGACATAAGGAAGTTCAAGGCTAATCAAACAAAATTAACTTGAATGAATCATGACTACTAGTGATATAGGGAAAGATAAACAAGCTGAAGATATCCAGTGATGCAAGTCAAAAATATGATGAAAAAAAAGTATCAAAATAACAGATTTTACAGCATGGACGTAGAAAATCAGCCTGCTGATGTAGGACGAGGATGGAGAAAGTTGAAAGGAGCATTGCTAGTAATTTCAAAATAGATAAGATGTTTTTGAACGAACAAATTGCAGCCTAGTGAAGTCCCAAGGACAAGGAGGGGGGTAGCAAAGACCTAGGATTGAATCCTCTTTAAATCAGTGTCATTTCTGACTCCCTATACTCCTGTAGAATTGTACAGCAAATATACAACATTGAACTCAGTGAGCTGTACAGCAAATATACAACATTGAACTCAGTGAGCACCACTTTAGGATTCTTTCTCTGTATTCATATTCTTATAAGTAGGACTGTACAAAGTGCAAACTTATCAAACATTGCAATATACGTGCTTTCTTTTAGTATAACAAATTGATTCAAAATACTTACCGCTTACATAATACCAAAGTTCGGAAATGATAACTAGTTAACTACACATAATACCAAATACATGCTATAAAATAGATAACACAAACCCTCTAATGTCAGCAAAAGTAAGGCTAGTATGAGCCGACACTGGTTCATGGTTAAAACTCATACAATTATAAGAAAAGCCACAGGGGCAGATGAAGCAGATATCAATACAACTGAGTTCACCCAAAAAGTCATTAGCTCCATTTCAAAGGCTTCTCCCTGCCTCACCCCCCCCCCCACCCCCCCTCCTCCCCACACACACAACAATAATTCAATTATCTCTTAGTTTACCAATAGACTTTTGTCGTAATCATCTCTAATTCCCAATAGTGAACTATCTTGCATATATATTCAATCAATGGGTTAGGAACTAAATCATCAGCATATTCAAATTCTTGTTGTTTAGTTACAGTTTGGTCTGAAAGAGCTTACGGGTTAGTAATTTTCACCATGGCAGGATGCGTTTAAAAGTATGACTCAACAGAGTCAACATAAGTAACATCTCAACCATGTAAGCCTGTTATTCTGTAAGGAGTTAAGATCACAATATAAAGGGCAATCTAACATGATCGACGGGTCACAAATGAAGAAGTATATAAAACACATAAAGGTTAGCTGAAAAAATTCTTCAAAATTATTCTTACCAAAGTACCTCCATGGAAGTTATTGCATCAATCTTGAAAGAAATTAGGACTTACAACTCTTTTTATTTTCTTTTTGTGGGCAGCACCACACTTCTAATACAGTAAACCCAACCAGCAATCTTCCTGCAACTTTATTCGACTGACAAATGAAAAAAGCATTACAGCTTGGCTGGCAAAATGATGTTCCATTTGAGTTA